CAATACAAAAACCAATCCCACAATACACAAAACAAAGTATATATGGTCAGAGATTCCATAACATGTTTGAAACTGCATTTTATTTCCTTCTGTTTTTTAATGTCTAAAATGTGCTTTTGAGTGGTCTTTGGCTAGCACACATACACTTAGTAAGAAGTCTTGTAGTAAGGTCAATTCAAATTCGATTTCACCAATTAGTAACTTACCTGCTTTGATAAAAGTGAATCTTCTCATTCCCATATTCATATATTTCACATTTGAGTGTTCATAAAACAAAACGTTAAATATTTGAGCAATATACGAAAGGTAGATATGACCCAGGAAGGTAAAGCAAGTGATTTCAAATAGTCAACAATTTACATTAAAAATTTTTAAATAGTTGCTTTTAAAGAGTTAAGCATCTGTATCTACTGATAGCAATGCAAAAACTACTTTATGACTTGAAACCGAAAAAAAAAAAATGTTCATTAAAAAAAAAGTTGTATTTAATTTTATATAATTTTTCCTCCCTTTCTATATGGGTATTCCTGGGAGCCAGACAGTTTGTATAATGAGGGAGTTAGTAGTTGCTTGCATTTTGAACCAGTTTAAATAGACAATAACTTTTTGCTTCCCTCTTAGTATGCTAATAATTATATCTGAAAAAAATACACAATTCTTAAGATTCCATTTCTGGTTTCTTTCTGTCTGTAACCTTTAGAAACTAATCACCTGAAACTACAAAATTAACAAATATCTTGAAATCTGTACATAAAAAATGACCGACCTTGAATTTCAAACTCTTGTTTATTATTGTACAACTCCATATTTAATTAAATCTAAATAAACAAAAAAAGAAAGAAAGCAGCTCCAAAGATAGTCTTATGACAGTTTCTTTAAAAAAGGAAACTGTTCCTTTTACACCCTCCCCACACCCCAATCATAAAACACATCATTTGTCTTGGTCAAAGACATTTCCAAAAAGAGATTTTAAATTTTACTCCCTAAGTTTCTGGTTATCAGGAAACCCGAACTTTCTTTTGTTGAATGAGTTTGGTCCTGCTGATGTTCCAATATTCTTCACCCTCATCTTTGCTTCTAGAAGCATTTTCTCTGGTTCATGCTCTGATGGCTCCAGCTTGTTGCAGGTTCTCAGGCTCTCCCACCTACCCATCCACTATTTTCCCATTGCGGTCTCTCCTGCCAGTCCCTCTTATTTTAACTCTCACTGCACAGGTATTACTTTTGAGAAGATGATCAAATTGCTCGGCTCAGAGACAGATCATTAAAATTGAAAAGCTTAAAAATGATTCTCATTCTGATTACCTACAATATAGCTTGTGTATTTTTATGAGGTGTTGGTAGAAGTGATTTTCCAAGGGTACATTTTTGTTTGGTGCTGTTGAGTTGGTTCTAACTCATAGCAACCCTATGCACAACAGAACTAAGCACTGCCCAGTCCTGCGTCTTCCCCACAATTGTGACATTTGAGCCCACTATTGCTGCCACTGTGTCACTCTGTCTCATTAGAGAGGGGAGTCTTCCTCTTTTGCTCCATTTTACTAAATATGATGTCCTCCATTTTACTAAATATGATGTCCTTCTTCAGGTACTAGTCCCTCCTGATAGCATGAGAAACAAAATCTCACCATCCTGGCTTCTAGAGAGCATTCTGGCTGCACATCTTCCAAGGCAAATTTCTTTATTTTTCTGGCAGTCCATGCTACTTTTAATATTCTCCAGAACCATAACTCAAATGCATAGATTCTTCTAAGGTCTTCCTTATTCATTGTCCACCTTCCATATGCATATGAGGTGATTGAAAACGCCATGGCTTGGGTCAGGCACAACTTAGTCTTCTAACTGATCTCTTTTCTCTCTAACACTTTAAAGAGGTCCTTTGCAGTAGATTTGCCTAATGCGATACATTGTTTGATGTCTTGACTGCTGCTTCCATAAGTGTTGATTATTGATCTAAGCAAAATGAAGTCCTTGACAATTTCAATCTTTTCTTCATTTATCAATGATGTTATTTATTGGTATAGTAGTGAGTATTTTTGTTGTCTTTACATTGAAATGCAATCCATACTGAAGGCTGTAGTCTTTGATCTTCAGTATTTTAAGTCCTCTTTATTACTACCAAGCAAGGTTGTATCATTTTGGCTTATATAGGATATCTTTTCATGAGCAACTCCCATGTGACAGGTTCTTCACATATATTACCTCTTATCTTTTTGAAGATCTGAAAAGGTATTATTCTCCCATTTAAAGTTAAAGAAAATTATATTCAAAGAAGTTAATAAACTTCCCCCAAACCATCTAGCTATCAAATACTGGAGCAGAATTCAAACTCCATAGCCCATGCGCCTTCTGTTGAAGCATCCTATCTTGGATACGATGATTCTCACTATAAGAAGGAATGACTTGGCAGCCTGTGGGGTGAGGGCGGTGCTCTCAGAATTGTCGAGGACCTGGAGAACTAGACAGGCTTCAAGGAAACTGCAGAAGGCCAAGAGACAGGAAGTACGACAGTGTTAGGGGAATGGTCTAGCCAGAATGCAGGCACCATTCCACCTCACCACCACCACCACCCTTACCCGCCACCCCCATCCCCATGAGTCCACCCTAACCATCTCTCTTTGTAGGGCCATTTGCACCATAGTGAGTATCTGATGGAGGGTCCAGTTAGCTGCGCCTAGATCATATTCTGTCACTTTAGTTCCAGAGTGGGAGGCAGGACCCAGCGTCTCATATACCCCCAAAACAAAAAGGGGGTTGGGATGCTGAACAGCAGAAAAAAAGGACATGTGGGAAAGGGATTAAAAGTATTTCCTGAATGACTCCACACTTTCTTTGGTTTACTGTTAGTATTGTTTCCATTACTAAAGTATACATGATTGGAAACAGGCAGTTAAAATTATCACCTCAAATAACAAGCATGCTAGTTGGTTCTCTCATTTATCTGTCTCAGCCAATAGAAACCAAAGTTAAACCAACTGAAAATGTTTTTAGAGTGAAAGAGGATATAGCGCTTCCAAGTGGCTCTCTGAGACAAAAGTTCAAAGAGACTCCCAAAGGGCATCTCTGCTTGTAGAAGTATCTACTTCATAAATCTACAGACACAGATTTGTGGTTAAAATTATGTGCGTTTCTCCTTTGCCTTACAGTGCCGCTCTGTGGTGGAATTCTCCCAGACATAGAAAGTATGCATAATAAAGAATGATATCTGCTTTTTACCCAGTCTTGGTGACTAGCAGTCTTCTAGGAAATTCTTTAAAATGTTCTGTTAAGGACTTTCCTAAACAGTAGAAATTAAAGATAGAAAAGAATTGTTTACATTTTTGCCCATGCCCCAAAGCCTGAATTTTTAAGTTTTGTACTTGCTGATTTGAAAGAGATAGCAAAGAGATTCTTTCTGATAGACTGGAGAGCTTCTCTCCCTAAAGGTTGTTAGATACAAATTCACCTAACTCTTGACTGGTCTGAATAGTGCAAGCCTGCAGCTAACTTGGAGTGCTGGTGTGGCACTGTATGATAAGCACTGGATGGCAAGGTTAGTTTGAACTGCAAGGTCGGTGGTTTAAACTCTCACCAGCTGCTCCTCGGAAACCCTACACAAGGTTGCTATGAGTCAGAACTGACTCGATGGCACTTAGCAACAGCAATACAGCTAATTCAGAAGCCTCACTTTGGAGAACACACCTCCAAATTCTGTAGATTTTAGTCCAAGTAGTTGATTGGAACCTTTGATCAGTGCCTCCTTACCTGCATTATTTATCCTGTAGAACAAGCAAGGCACTACCAGGACCTGATGTCTGTCTTGTGGATATGACCATAATGTCAATCCCTTTCTCCACTCAAACTTTTCACCCTTGATCCTTCAAGATAGCAGTTATCTGATCTGCATACGTCTTCTACTTCTTCTATTTTTTTGTATATTCACTGTCATAGAGTCAATGCCGACTTGTAGCAACCTAGTATAGGGTTTCCGAGGCTGTAAATCTCTACAGGAGCAGGACACCTCTCTATCTCCCAGGGATCTTCTGGTGGGTTTGAACTGCTGACTTTGCAGTTAACAGTCAATGCTTATCTTACAGTGCTACCCGACTGCCTTTCATATTTTGTTGTTGTTATGTGCCATGGAGTCGATTCCGACTCATAGCGACCCTGTACAGGGTTTCTGAGGTTGTAAATCTTTACGGGAGCAGAAAGCCTCATCTTTTTCCCGCGGAGCAACTGGTAGTTTCGAACTGCTGACCTTGCGGCTCACAGCCGATTTGTAACCACTACGCTATCAGAGCTCATATAAGTGCTCAAAATCTCCTCTAAAGATCCCCTCCGCCCTTATATTTTAAGAATGCTACGAAATAATGAAAAGGCAGTGTATGCTGAAAGCAGCAGCTATACAGGACCTGTGTGGCGCTCCAGCTGAGCTGATTGCAGAGGAGCTGTTAGCGAATCGCCCATGGGAACTGACCTGACGGTCAGTGGTAGTGCCGATAACGGCAGTTGTCCACTGCAGCCTTCCTCTTAACTGTAGTTTGGAAATCCGTGAGTGCTGGGGTGTTTTAAAGACTACTCCATGCAAGAAAGGTATTTACCCAGCAGCAGCGAAGTGGAAAGAGCACTGATCCTGAATCCAGATTTAGCACTAAACTCGGGTCCGCTTCTTTTAATAATGTGCCCTTGGGCAAGGTGGTTAACCTTTCAGAAGCTTTGTTTCCTCTTAAAATGGAGTAACGCTGCCAGCCTGTGCCACCGGTGAGAATCACATGAAGGAGCATGCACCTGGGGCAGAAGAGGCACTCCGTTAGTATTTTTTAGAGAAGTCATTATCTACTCCCTGGGAACCAGGCCGCTCGGTCGTAATTTTGGTGTTCCCCATGAATCCCATACCCTCCCTTCATCTAAAACACTTAGACTTCCAGCTGCTGGGTTAATGATTATATAAGACCCAGTCTCTCTCCCCAGATGAGAGCAGGTAAAACCTTGCTAATCTCCTGGACCCTGTCTCCCTGCAGGAAGGCTATGGCATTGGGGACGATGACTACTCCTGTGCATACGATGGCTGCCGGCAGCTGATCTGGTACAACGCCAGAAGTAAGCCTCACCTACATCCGTGCTGGAAAGAAGGTACTCCTTCATCTCCTTCCCCAACGTACCGTCTGCAGTAGGGCTTCTGGTTATAATGAGGCATCCTCTAGTGTTCTTAAAATATGGAATGGAAGAAGGGTAAATGTGAAAACGGATACTATTAGCCATTTTTATCCCTTCCATGGACATAATGGTTCCTCTGATCATTTCACCTCTGGTGGAGCCCTTTCTGTAGCAAATGCATTTGTATTCTCATTTACTCTGTTGATTTTTGTTTTGAATCAAAACCCCATGGGGATATCAGGGACACTGAAAAGACAATGTCACTAAACTGAGGCTCGTCCTGTGAAATAGACACTGTTTGGTGACAATATTCTAGGCACCTCCAGAGCCATGTATAGAGAGGACGTGAGAGCACTTTTGGCCCCAGACTCGTCTGCTTAGCCTCCTCCCTATCCAGACACTAGACTCAGATGCTTCAGTGGTACAGGCTGCCTGGACTACTGGGGGCTTCATAAAGTTCATGGAAAATTGGAATGAAAAGATAATGGCATTTTTTTCATGAACATTGTGATGCCCCCTTGTATATCTTATCAATACCATGACCTTTTGGCCACATTCAGTTTTTGCTTCTTCCAGTTTGCAGTATCTGAGAGCTGAGATCCATGAAAGCATTTCTCAGTGGAAGATTTTAGAGTCATGTAGTTGGTTTGTTAAACACTTAAGAAGTAAGGTTAGTGAGTCTTTCTTTCCACCAACTAAATGCAGTGTGACCAAGGTTTTCCTGACACAGCGCCATTGCACAGAAGGGGTGCTCTTGGGGGCCCTCTGGTGTCCCATGGCACTCTGAGGAAGTAGGGACGAATGGTAGGACATTGTTGCTGTTGCTGTTAAGCGCTGTCAAGTCGTTTCTGACCCACAGTGAGCCTGTATAGGGTTTCCAAGGAGCGGCTGGTGAGCTTGATCCACCGACCTTGCAGTTTAAACGGCTTTGCAGTTTGGCACATTAACCCACAGCGCCACAGCAGGACTCCATAGAAGGAATTATTTTTTCCAGTATGGGAGTTAGCCCCCAGCTGCTTTTCTAAGTGTCCCTCGGTTTCCAGCTATGAGTTGATGGACCATAAGTGTGAACTGAATTTCCAGGCATACTAGGAGAGCTAGAACTTGACCACTGCTCTGTGGGGACAGCTCCACGTGATTAAATCCATAGTGTGACAAAGGGAAAAAACCCAAAAAGCCAGTATGAGCCCTCCTTTTAATGGCCTGCAAGTTCTTGAAAGGACATAAAATTGTTTCATTTAGCAGAATGGAAGATAGAAGCAAGGAGCCCCTGGTAGCCCAATGCTTAAATCACTGGGCTGCTACCAAAAGTCAGTAGTTCAAAACCATCAGGTGCTCTGTAGGAGAGCGATGTGGTCAGCTTCCATAAAGATTACAGCCTTGGAACCCACGTGAGGCTGTCCTAGTCTGTCTGGTAGGGTCCCTATGAGTCAGACTCAACTCTACACAGTAGGTTTGGCTTTGGGGTAAGATAGAGGCACTGCCTTCAACAGTAATTTAGTTTGTTTTTTAAATAAGAATTTTAAACGCTATTACTGATGTAATAAAAGTTTACTATAAAAATTTGGATTGTTGTTGTTAAGTACCATAGAGTCAATTCTGACTCATTAGCAAATCCTGATTAGGGTTTAATAGAGCAGAAAGCCACATCTTTCTCCCTCAGAGCAGCTGATGCATTCAAACCATGGTCTTTGTGGTTCGTAATCCAGTGCTTATCGTATGGAAGCAAACCAAATTAACTAACAGTGTTCTCAATATTCCAATATGTACTTATAACTGTGACTCATTAATCAGTGCCTTCTTGTTGAGCATTTACATTTTTGCCTTTTTTACTATTATTACAAACCTAGGTTTTCTCAGGATAAAGCTTTAGAAGTGAAACATCTCTGGCAAAAGGGATACAGAATTTTAAGGCTTTTGCTGTTTATCACCAGATTTCCCTCCACTGATAGAGATTGAGCGTCCATTTTCCTTGCAATCGCTGGGGAAAACAGAAATGAAAATATCTCTATTTTATCTTATTTGGGAATCAAAGATGAATTTGCTTTGTTTTGTATTTGACAGTTGTTGTCTTAAGAACTTTTATACCGCACCAGAGAGCCAAAGACGCACAGGGTTATAATCTCACCATATTCCGTTGACCCCAAAATGCATGCTTTGGTTTGTTGATTTTTTCACATTTCAATTGATGTCTTTGAAGTTGTAATGAATCTTAGAATCAATGGCTTAAGATTGTTGGATTGGCAGCATGTTTTGTTACTGGCACATTAGAATATCAGTGTGGAAGACTCAGCTCAGTTTTAGAAACAGTCAGGGAGGTGGCCCTATTGAGTCCCTGACTGGTGATGCAGACTGACTCCAGTGCCCTGGAAGCACCACTCCTCGAGTCCTGGTGGGGCCTGCCCTTATCCTGACAGTGTTCCCTTCCCTCCTCTAGGAGACACCGTGGGCTTTCTCTTAGACTTGAATGAAAAGCAAATGATATTCTTTTTGAATGGGAACCAGCTGCCTCCTGAGAAGCAAGTCTTTTCATCTACTGTGTAAGTAACTCTACCAGGGGAAAAATGTGTGCAGATGCATAGGATGTACTTTTCTCTAGAGGGAGGGGAGAAAAAAAAAAATCCTTGTTCATTTATGTAGACAAGTATGATGGGAAGTCAGTAATTTCAAGTAACTGGAGACTCATTAGATCGTATCTAAAGCTAGTTCCAAGTTTGCTCCGGGAAACTGAAGGTAGGGTTTTCCGTGGTCCCCAGACCTGTAGGGGTCAGGAAGCAGAACCTATGTTGCCTCTTTCTGCCAGGACCTCTTTATGTTTGAACTTGGTTTGGTTTATATCAAGTCTCTTGACTTTAGTACTCATTTTTCTCTGTAGATCTGGATTTTTTGCTGCAGCTAGTTTCATGTCATATCAACAATGTGAGTTCAATTTTGGAGCAAAACCATTCAAATACCCACCATCTATGAAGTTTAGCACCTTTAATGACTACGCCTTCCTAACAGCCGAAGAAAAAATAATTTTGCCAAGGTAAGGAATCTTACCTCCAGACTTTCTCAGGCATCTTAGGAGAAATCCAAACAATTTATGAGATTACTGTGTTCAACTTTTTACAGACAATTTAGAAAACCTGAGTAAAACCACTGGCTTTCTAGGAAATAATGAATTAACTAAAACAGATCCCACGAAAGCTCTAAACAAAATAATTCCTATGATAAAATTTGCTGAAAAAAATTGAGAGCTATGTCCTCAAAAAGCATGAGGCCCAGGTGACTTCACAGAAGATTTCCACCAAATCCTTTGTGATGGTTTCACTGCTATGTAAAATGTCACAGAGCCCAGAAACAAAGAACACTTTTTAATTCTTTTTATGAGATGAATGGCATTAGTATGAAAACCAGACAGAGCACACACACACATTACAAATTAATTTTACTTAAATGTCAAAATAAAAAATCATAAATATTAGGAAATCAAATGCATCTTGTAACAGACTTGAGTTCATTGCCACAGACTATTGGTTGTAGTGGTATGGCAAAGGTACCAACACTGTTCCACAGCCATGAGGACAGTGAATGTCCACTTGTATAGAATTTCACAGCCCTTCGTTGACAGGACCTGTGCTTGACCGTCCATTGTCTCAGTGAATGAACATCTACTTTGCTTCCTTGCAAGACTAATGCAGTCTGTGCCTGAAGCCAGGGAAATACTTCAGCTGCTTCCTGGTAATTGCTTCATGTTGAAGCTTGTTTCACTCTATGAGCCAAACTGAGCAGCTGTCTTGGCATGTGTGAGGAAGGGTATTCCTGTTACTAATGCACATGTGTTTCATCAATAAGAGAGTCTCTCTCAGCAATCAAGGAGACTGTACTGGCCATGGGAAAGCCACTGCTGGACCATTATACCTCAGCAGGTATCTGTAATATAATGGTGTAATCCTAGCTCCTTTTTTGGCTCAAGCAGCCACTCTGGGCTGGACATCACCAGGATGGCCCTCAAGGCTTGAGAACAGCTCAGGAGTTTCCACAAGAACTAGACATTGTCAGGGTGGCAGCTGTCCTAGTTCTCTGGCGCAGCTATAACAGAAATACCATAAGAGGATGGTTTTAACAGACAAATGTATTCTCTCACAGTATAGGAGGCGAATCCAAATCCATGGGAAGGCTTTTTAACTCTCTCTGTTGGCTCTGGGGAAAATCCCTTGTCTCCTTTCAGCATCGGTAGGCCCAGCATTCCTGGGAGATCTCCATGCATCTTGCATTAATCTTACCCTGGATCTAGAAGCTTCACAATGCAGAGACCCAGATCCAAAGAACACATCCTGGCACTTCCTTCTAGGTGATTGTAGGGTCCCTCTTATCTCTGCTCACTTTTCTCTTCTTGTATCTCTTATAAATAAAAGGTGTTGAAGGCCAACCCCAGGGAAATGCACCTTACATCAGATCAGAACTATGATTAAGGGTGTTGTGCCCCCCTCTAATTCTCTCAGTGGTTTATCACATCAGATCACATCATGGGGGATCATCAGATAACTGCCACATTACGTCACGATATAACTGTCACCTTACATCATCACACAATTATCACATTACATTATCATACGCTGCCACATTACATTATCACACAACTGTCGCATTACATCATCACACAGCTGCCA